GGCTGTCTCTCGACCATTGCCAGCAGTCTTTTGTGGGGGTATCTTTGTGGATTTCTGTGGGCCTCTTTAGCACTTGTTTCTTCCTTTTCTCATGTGGTCTTCATTTACCATGGCAGATCCAAATTTTTTATTTAATAAGACCATTTAAGATTAGTCTTGCACTACCTCAACTTCATGTGTCATGCTATGTTTAAGCTCTTAGGAGGCCCGCCCCGTTCTGAATGGAGACAGCAGCAGTGGATGGAAGGGGAGCATGGTGTTGATGGGGTGAGGGGCAGTAAATGAAGTGGCAGGGGGAAGGGAGGAAACTTACTGGTACATAAAATAAAGGAAAAACCCGACAGTGGGGGCACAGGCCTTTAAAACCAGCACTTGGGAGGCAGAGCCAGGCAGATCTCTGTTGGTTCTGTGAGTTCTAGGCCAGCCTGGTTTACAGGGCGAGATCCAGGAGAGACACCTAAACTACACAGAGAAACCCTGTCTCAGAGAGAGAGAGAGAGAGAGAGAGAGACAGAGACAGAGACAGAGACAGAGACAGAGACAGAGAGAGAAAAGAAAAGAAAATGGTAAAAGAAAAAAAAAAGACTGAATATATTAATGAGGTTCCACTGTACTTCAATAGACTATAGTACAACATTTTATAGAGGCTAAACATTTATCTTAAACTCAGCTCTGAGGATTTTAGAACCAATCACTGTAGACTAAGCTTTTTGAAATGTATTTTCCTCATTTGTTCCTAAAATCTTAATTACCTCCAAGTGATTTTTCCAGTCAAACTGTTTTGAGAAAAGGCAAGATTACCCTTGTATTTCTAATTTCTTTTGGCGTCTAAAAAGTGTCAGATGACCTCTCCAGCACTGTGCAAATGTGGCTCTCAAGGACCCATCTTGCAAGTTCAGTGCTTACAAGCCTTGTAATCCACAACTTACTGAGCAGGATCATCTGGACAGCTCAGCAGGATTATCTAGGTATCTTCCAGGGACATAAACCCCAGACAGATTGTCTGCAGGAGCAAACTGCCCTCTGTCTGTTCTGAGTTGTCATGGCACATTCCTGAGGTCCATTCTGGAACTGAGGACAGCAGGTAGCCCTACCCTAAGATGGGGTCCGTATCTCCTTCATATCCCCATTAAATTGTGTACCCTAATAAAAGTTATCTGGGTGTCACAGAACTGAACGGACACTAGATTAGACAGAAGTCAGAAAATGGTGGCACACATGCCTTTAATCCTATCACATTGGAGGCAGAGATCAAGGCCACACTGGGAACAGCTAGGCATGGTGACACACACCTTTAATCCCAGGAAGTGATGTCAGGAAACAGAAGTATATAAGGCATGAAGACCAGGAACTAGAGCCTTTGAAGCTTTTAGGTTTTTTATCACCAGTTTAGCTGAGATCCATTCTGGTGAGGACTTAGAATCTTTCACAATCTGAAGATTCTTGGAAACAGGATCTGATGAGGAGTTGTTGAGGTGAGGTTAGCTGTGGCTTGTCCTATTCCTCTGATTTCTCAGTATTGATTGATTTATTGATGGATTGATTGTTGTTGTTGTCATTACTTTTTGATTTTTGAGACAGGGTTTCTCTGTGTTTTTTGTTTTTTTTTTTTAGCTGGGGCTTTTTTTGATTCTCTGACTTTTCAGATTCACCCCAATACCGAGACCTGAATTCTTTTTTATTAAATGTGACCATTTATGATTCATGTCCACTACCTCAACTTCATGTGCCATGCTATGTTCAAACCCTTAGGAGGCCCGCCCCTCTCTGAATGGAGACAGGAGGAGTGGATGGATAGGGAGCAGGGTGGGGAAGGTGTGGTGGGTGGTAAATGGGAGTGGCGGGGGGTGGGGAAGAAACTTGTTGGTACATAAAATAAAGGAAAAGCCGGGCAGAGGTGGTACAGGCCTTTAATCCCAGCACTCAAGGGGCAGAGCCAGCGGATATCTTTGCGTTCCAGGCCATCTTGATATAAGAAGCAAGATCCAGACAAGGAACCAAAACTACACATTGAAATCCTGGAAGGGAAAAAAGGTTAAAAGAAAACAACAACAACAAAAACCCTGAACATATCAATGGAGCTCAACTGTGCTTCAGTAGACTATAGTACAACATTTAACAGAGGCTAAACATTTATCTCACACTCAGCTCTGAGGATTTTAGAACCAATCACTGTAGACTAGGCTTTTTGAAATGTGTTTACCTCATTTGTTCCTAAAATCTTAATTACCTCCAAGTGATTTTCCAGTCAAACTGTTTTGAGAAAAGGCAAGACTTACCCTTGTATTTCTAATTTCTTTTGGCATCTAAAAAGTGTCAGATGACTTCTCCAGCACAGTACATACATGGGACCGACCTAGGCCCTCTGTATGTGACAGTGTTGTAGCTTGGTCTGTTTGTAAGGCTCCTAGCAGTGAGATTAGGACCTGTCACTGGCTGTTAGCTGGCTTTTGGGAACCTGTTCCCCATGCTGGATTACCTTGCCCAGCCTGATTCAGGGGGAGGAGCTAAGTCCTACCTTGTGGTGATATTGTGTCCCCCAATATATTGTGCACCCTAATAAAGTTATCTGGGGTCTGAAAATAGAACAGTCACTAGATAGCCATAGAGTCCAGATAAATGGTGGCCAAATGACTTTAATCAACAGAAAAATGGTGGCATACATGGCTTTAATCCTATCATTCAAGAGGCCGAGGTCTTTCTGGATCTCTGAGTTCAAGGCCACACGGAGAACAGAGCCAGGTGTGGTGGCACACACCTTTAATCCCAGCACTTGAGATCTCACGTCTTGCCTGGGAGATGCACATGCCTTTAATCCCAGGAAGTGATGTCAGAAAGCAGAAAGGTATATAAGGTATGAGGACCAGGAACTAGAGGCTTTCAAGCTTTGAGGCTTTGCAGCAGCAGTTTAGCAAGATCCATTGGGGGTGAGAACTCAGAATCTTTCACAGTCTGAAGATTCTTGGAAACAGGATCTGATCAGGCGTTGTTGCGGTGAGGTTAGCTGTGGCTTGTCCTTTTCCTCTGATCTCCCAGTTATTCAGCCCAATATCTGATTCCATGATATTTATGTATTGATTGATTGATTGATTTTGTTGTTGTTTTTTGTTTGTTTGTTCTTGGTGATAGGGTTTCCTGTGTAGTTTTTTGTTTTTGTTTTTCTAACTGTGTCTCGTCTGTCCCTCTGACCTTTCAGAATTCACCCCAATACTGAGAACTGTGTTTTTTATTTCTATGACCATTTAAGATTCATCTTGCACTATCTCAACTTTAGGTGCCAAGCTATGTTTAAGCCCTTAGGAAGCCGGCTCCTTTCTGAAAGGAGACAGGAGGAGTGGATGGATGGAGAGCAGGGTGGGGGAAGTGGCAGGGGGAAGGGAGGAAACTTGTTGGTACAAAAAATGAAGGAAAAGCCCAGCAGTGGTGGCACACTCTTTTAAAACCAGCACTTGGGAGGTAGAGCCAGTCAGATCTCTGTGAATTCAGTGAGTTCAGGGCCAGCCTGGTTTACAGAACGAAATCCAGGAGAGATACCAAAACTTCTCAGAGAAATCCTGTCTCAAAAAAAAAAAAAGGAAAAAATTGTTAAAATAAAAAAAAAAGACTGAATATAATAACTGAGCTCCACTGTTCTTCAATATACTATAGTGCAACATTTAACAGAGGCTAAATATTTATCTCAAACTTAGCTCTTAGGATTTTAGAACCAATCCCTGTAGACTAAGCTTTTTGAAATGTGTTTTCCTCATTTGTTCCTAAAATCTTAATTACCTCCAAGTGATTTTCCATTCAAACTTTTTGAGAAAAGGCAAGATTTACCCTTGTATTTCTAATTTCTGTTGGCCTCTAAAAGGTGTCAGATGACATTTCCAGCACAGTGCAAATGTGGCTCTCAAGAACCCATCTTGCAAGTTCAGGGCTTATGAGACTTATAATCATGGAAATTGTGCTGACACACACATTGGTGATCAATGTCAATGTTAAAGGGGTGGAAAAGGTGGAGCCTTATTCATCCATACCTATAGCTCAGATTATCAAGGGATAAGAAAATATTCCAGGCCATTTCATGGATACCTGTGTATGAACCTGAGCAGATGCCATCCATCTAGCCAGTATTTATCTAAAAGTTGCTTCAAATTTAGCTTGAAACTGTGGTACTGGTCTTATACTTGATTGGTGGGATTAACATTTTCTGGACAGCCCAGCAATATTCAAACCAAAAACCCTAATTCTAAAGCTGGACCTTCACTCAGGAACTCCTGGCCTCAGGGTCTACGTGAGCCACGTACCTTGATACATTCCCATGGCTCTGAGACTGTCTTGAGTTCTCAGACTATCAGAGTGAACTTCCAAGCTGAGAAATTTAGCAAGCAACTACAGAGGCCTCCTGGAAGGCTCTGAGCTTTTGGACTTGACAGCTGTCCTGGTAACTCTGCCCCCAAGGTCAGGGAGGCTCAGAAGATGATATAATATATAAATGCAAGTTGTAATCACTCTATCTGTCTCCGCAGATTTTCTGTGGGATGAAAGACATATCTAAGCATCAGCTGCTGACTACAACCTGCTCCAAACAACGTTGATCCCTGGACTTGCTGAAAGCAAATGTAGACCACTCTAGCCATTGTGAATGGTTCTTGAGCCTTAAGCTGGGACAAGCCATGACTACAGTAGTGGTACATGTGGACTCCAAAGCTGAGCTCACTGCCTTGCTGGAGCAGTGGGAAGAGGGCCATGGAAGTGGGCAGGATATGGTACCTATCCTTACCAGGATGTCAGAATTAATTGAAAAAGAAACTGAAGAATATCATAAAGGAGATCCAGACCCACTTGATGATCGACATCCTGGTCGAGCTGATCCAGAGTGTATGCTGGGCCACTTGCTGAGAGTATTCTCCAAGAATGATCATTTCATGAATGCACTGGTGAACGGGTATGTGATGACAAGTAGAGAGCTCTCTTTAAATACTGCAGCTTGCAGACTGCTCCTGGACCTCTTGCCAGGTCTAGAAACTGCAGTTGTCTTTCAAGAAGAGGAAGGGATTGTAGAAAATCTTTTCAAATGGGCCCAAGAGGCTGATCAGCCACTGAGGACATATTCTACAGCACTGTTAGGAGGTGCTATGGAAAATCAAGAGATTGCTGCAAACTATAGAGATGAAAATTCACAGCTGGTGGCAATAGTGCTTCGCAGACTGAGAGAGCTACAAGTTCAGGAAGTGGCTTTGCGGCAGGAAAGTAAGTGTCCTAGTCCACAGAAGCTTTCATCAGAGCCACGTTTGCCTCTGGATGAGGAAGCTGTGAATATGGACTATGGTGACATGGCAGTAGATATTGTGAATAGAGAGCATGGTGACAGAGAGAATGTTAGGAGAGGCCAGCAGAAGTTGGATTTCTCACCTTCTGAGCCAGATGGTGTGTTTGCTGAGCTGTCTAATAGCAGCTGGTCAGAAATGTCCCCCTGGGTGATTGGCACCAATTATACCCTCTATCCAATGACTCCCACTATTGAACAGAGACTTCTTCTCCAGTACGTGACCCCTGTAGGAGAGTATCAGGAGTTACTTCCCATATTCATGCAACTTGGATGCCGAGAATTGTTGATGTTTTATATGGATCTGAAACAGACTAATGATGTCCTGCTTACTTTTGAGGCACTCAAGCACCTAGCATCTCTCCTGATCCATAACAAATTTGCCATAGACTTTGTTGTACATGGTGGAGTACAGAAACTACTGAAAATTCCTCGGCCTTCTATGGCTGCAACTGGTGTATCTATATGCTTGTATTACCTGTCCTCCAACCAGGATGCTATGGAAAGAGTTTGCTTGCATCCCAACAGTGTTCTATCTGCTGTGGTGAACTATGCCCTATGGTTAATGGAATGTTCTCATGCTTCAGGATGCTGCCATGCTACAATGTTTTTCTCAGTTTGCTTCTCATTCCGGGCTGTCTTGGAACTCTTTGACTATTATGATGGTCTGCGTCGTCTAGTGAACTTGATCAGTACTCTGGAGATTTTAAATTTGGAAGACCAGGGTGCACATGTGAGTGATGATAAAATCCTTGCTACCTGCCAAAGGGGCAAATATACCTGCATGGCTCTGCGAAAGTATTTTGAGGCTCACTTGGCCATTAAACTGGAGCAAGTCAAGCAGTCACTTCAGAGGACTGAGGGTGGTATTCTTGTGCACCCTCAACCTCCATACAAGGCATGCTCATACACTCGTGAGCAGATTGTGGAAATGATGGAGTTTTTGATAGAATATGGCCCAGCTCAGTTTTATTGGGAACCTGCTGAAATCTTCCTCAAGCTTTCTTGTGTGCAGCTCTTGGTGCAGCTTATTTCCATCTCCTGCAAGTGGAAGACCTATCATGGAAGGAATGACACTGTGCGCTTTGCTTTGGACGTCCTGGCTATCCTCACTGTGGTGCCAAAAATCCAGCTCCAATTGGCAGAGTCGGTGAAGGTCTTGGATGAACATGGCTCTACTGAATCCACTGTAGGTATCAACATCATTTTGGGAGTGGCTGAAGGTGAATACTTTATTCATGATGCTGAAATCCAGAAGTCAGCCCTTCAAGTAATCATCAATTGTGTGTGTGGCCCAGATAACCGAATATCCAGTATTGGTAAATTTACTTCTGGAACTCCTCAGAGAAAGCTATTTCAGAACCCCAAGAGCAGTGAACATATCTTGGCCAAGATGTGGAATGTGGTCCAGTCCAACAATGGCATCAAGGTGCTTCTGTCCCTATTGTCCATCAAGATGCCCATCACAGATGCAGACCACATCAGGGCCCTGGCCTGCAAGGCCCTAGTGGGCTTGTCTCGAAGTAGCACTGTTGGACAGATCATCAGCAAATTGCCCCTTTTTAGTAGCTGCCAGATTCAACAGCTGATGAAGGAGCCAGTGCTGCAGGACAAGCTTAGCAACCATGTCAATTTCTGCAACTATGCAGCTGAGCTCATTGAGAGAGTATCAGGAAAACCTCTTCTGGTTGGCACTGATATGTCCCTGGCCCAACTACAGAAAGCAGGTGTTGTTGCCCAGTCAAGGATCTCCTTCCCTGAGAAAGAACTGCTCCTGTTGATAAGAAACCATCTCATTTCTAAAGGACTTGGAGAGACAGCCACTGTGCTGACCAGAGAGGCTGACCTGCCCATGAATGCAGCCTCACATTCTTCTGCCTTCACCCCTGTGACTGCTGCTGCTTTTCCACTCTCTCTTCCCTGGACTCCTCGAATTGGCAATGGCATTGCTGGCCAACTGGGCAACCATACAGCTGTGGGTGCTTCTGCCCCTTCTGCCTGCCTTGCTGAACCTCTGCCAT